AGGAGGGCACCTGTTGGGAGGAGCACTGGGTGTTGTATGGAAACCAATTTGACAATAAATTTCATTTTTAAAAAAACAAAAATTAGAAAAAGAAATAAAAAATTTTAAAGACTACATATTTTCTGATTCCTTTTATATAATATGTTCTGAATAAGCAAATCCAGAGACAAAAGTTAAATTAGTGGTTTCCAGAGAGTAGGAGATGGGGGTAATGAAGAGTGACTACTAGTGGGTATAGAATTTCTTTGGGGCTGATAAAATGTTTAGGTATTAGTTGTAATGGTTGGACAACATTGTGAATATACTAAATACACTGAATTGTACACTTTAAAACGGTTAATTTGTGGAGAGGCCAAGATGGCAGAACAGCATGGAAGTCTTTTTTTGTGTCTCGCATCTATGAAATGCAGCCAGATCAACACTAAACCATCCTGCACACCTAGAAAACTGATTTGAGGATTAACACAACAATCTGTACAACGTGAGCCACAAAACTCAGCAGGTACATGGCGTGGAGAGGCGAACTGGGGAAGAGAGAAGCTGCAGAAGGCAGGGAGCTGTTTTAGTGTGTGGAGAGAGGACAGAGACGGGGGAGAGGCAGGGGGAATACAGGAAAAGCACCCCCCCAAAACCAGCTGGAGAGAATGTGGAAAAGTGGAAACAGCCGCAGGGACTGAAAAAGGGAGAAAGGAGAAAGGGGAGGGTTTAAATTCCATTAAGAAAAACTTTACAAACAGGGGGAGCGCAGAGTCTGAGGCTCCACAGCTCGATACCTGTCAGTGCTCTCGTGGGAAGGGTGAATCCCCAGGAGCAGAGTGGAATCTGGGTGTCTTCAGGCCACATGGGAAGAAGCAGTTCCCCTACTGGGAGGACATCTGGTAGAGGTTGTACGCCCCCCCCCCACAGGCAAAGGCCTCAGTGGACCTGGGAGAACAACCACATTTGCTGGTGCTGGAACAAGGTTGTTGGGGGTGAAGGCTGGCACCAGGTATGTGTTGTGATTTTCCATAATCCTTGAAACGCTGCTGCTAAACGATCGCGTGAACTTTTTCTGCGGGGGGCTGGCACTCAGCCACAGTCTCTGGGCCTCGGCAGCAGCACGGTCTCTCCAACATTCCTGGTTGCGGCTGACACCTGGCCGCTGCTCGGTGAGACCATTCACAGAGGGGTGGAGCGGGTCAAAGCCACAGTCCCTTGGGAAACACAGCCACATCTGAGATAAAACTCAGGAGAGAGGTGCCGCCTGGCAATCTGACAGCTTGGTCACGGACAGTGTAAAAGCGGGAAGTGGACGGAAGTAGAAGACAAAGGATAGGTGTGCAATTGCTGATTGGAGAGAACAGAGTTCCGATACTAAAGCCTGGGTAGCTGGGTGATGCCATTTTCACCGCTCCCGCGCATGTGCATACACACCTACAAGCACCACAGCAACAACCCCAGTAAGCTATTCAGCGCCATCTAGTGGAGAAAGGAGCTGATACACTAAGCCCCGCCCAACTGGGCCAACCTCGCTCTTCAGGAACACAAGTCTTTCTGCCTGCTTACTATATGGACTGTAAAGCACTTCATAGTTTGACTTCTAGGGTTAAACGAAGTAATTTCAATCATATTTCAGTCTGTTTGCTGATCCATCTATTCAATTTTCTTTTTTTTCTTTTTTTTCTCTTTTTCTTGAATACAGAAAGAGAAAAAATATATTTTTATTTTCACTTTTTATTAAAAATATTTTTCTTGGGGCATCTGGGTGGCTCAGCGATTGGCATCCAACTTCGGCTCAGGTCATGATCTCACAGTTCGGTTTGTGAGCTCGAGCCCACGTCCAGCTCTATGCTGACAGTTCAGAGCCTGGAACCAGCTTCACATTCTGTGTCTTCCTGTTTGCCCCTCCCCATTCATGATCTGTCTCTCTGTCTCTCCAAAATGAATAAATGTTAAACAATTTAAAATTTTTTTCTTTAATTTTTTTCTACTATATTTTTTACGTTCATGTACATATTTTCAAATTCTATTTTACTTCCATCATTTCATTTAATTCTAATTCACTGTATTCATTTTTTCAAATTATTTCCTTTTTTGCTTTCCCCTTTTGTCTCTAATCTGCCGAGCAGAAATAAAAACAAGCAGAAATAAAAAACAAGCAGAAATAAAAACAATAATGAGAATATTATGAGCAACTATATGCCCATAAAATGGGTAATCTGGAAGAAATGGACAAATTCCTAGAAACATATATACTACCAAAACTGAAACAGGAACAAATAGAAAATTTAAACAAACCCATAACCAGTAAGAAAATCGAATTAGTAATTAAAAAAATGTGCCAAAAAACAAGAGTCCAGGGCCAGATGGCTTTCCAGGCGAATTCCTCCAAACATTTAAGGAAGAGTTAACTCCTATTCTCTTGAAACTGTTCCAAAAAATAGAAATGGAAGGAAAACTTCCAAACTCTTTCTATGAAGCCAGCATTACCTTGATTCCAAAACCAGACAGAGGCCTCATGAAAAAGGGGAACTATAGACCAATTTCCCTGGTGAACATCAATGCAAAAATCCTCAACACAGTATTAGCCAACTGGATCCAACAATACATTAAAAAAAATTATTC